GTTTTCCATGTAAGTGGAGGTTAGTGCTTGCCAGATCGATTTTTCCATACAAGAGGAGGTTCGAACTCCCACCTCTCTTAAGAAACAAGAGTGCACAATCACTCACGCCAATCAAGCTGGTTTGACTTTGTGGTAGTTGGTATTTACTATTTAGCTTTTATTAGTGATTTAGACAATTGGTTCACTATTTTTATTTATTAGTAATATTTTAAATTATGAAATAATTAATATTTAAGAAAAAAATCTTTACAAATGTACTTCTATATTTTTTTTATTTACATATTTTCCTCACATTTGGTTTCCAATATTTTTAAAAATATCATTTTTTCTATTTTTCATTTTTCATTTTTCCATTTTCATGAAACATAAAATAAATGACTTAATACCCAACTTAGTTCTCGATTATATAGTGGGTTTTCTCGATTTAGCTCTACACGACTTTTTGTGTTTAATTAGGCTATTGACTTTGATGGTAAACCCAAGATTAACTTAGGTAAAATATTATAATTGATGACTAAATTGAGTATTAATAGATATGAAATTACCAAGTTATCTTAATATATGACCTAATTAAACATAAAAAGTCGTTTAGAACCAACTCAAGAAAAATTATTATAATCGATGACTAAATTCAGTATTAACTCTAAAACAAATGCAAATGTAAAATATTTCGCGTACCTTTGAGTCTAGGGTGCAAAGACGGGCAAATGGTGAAATTACAATGACTAGTCTTAGTATCTTAGTATAATTACCCTTGATTCCTTATCATTCTAGTCCAATATAGTGTAAGTTCCCACACACACAAAAAAAAAATGTAGAAAAATGAGTTAAACAATAACTCTCTAAGTACTTCACTTTATACATTTGGAGCCTTTAGTACAAGTTATATACCATTATTTAGATAATATGAGTATGGTAATATTATAAAAGTTTGTTTGGTTTAAGTTATGTGATTACCTTAATAATATTATATAACTGTCACATAAAATTGTGAGTTAATTTAATGTTGAGGTAATGTGATTATCTTCTTCTTTTCAGGTATTCTTACATTACTTTTCAATATTTCAATTTTTCCCTTATAAACTATTCGATATATATATATATATATATATATATATATATATATATATATATATATATATATATATATATATATATATTGATTGTTTTATTGGGATCTGGTCCACCATAAACCGGGTATAGAAATATAGAACGGGGGTAGGCAAAGAATAGCTTTATTGTCCAGGGCGCTAAGCCCAAAATAGTACGTACAAAGCTCGAGGTACAGGCCCAAAATGATGGCCCAAAATAATAACTAAACAAGTTAAGGAAACTAATAAATGAAATAAAACTAAATATGTTACTGATAAGACTCGAACCCTGGTGTGCCAGCAGAGGGTTGAAAACTTAGACTAATGGACCAAGAGGGGTTTGGTGAGCCAAGGGGTGCCTTTTAAAAGGAGGGAAGAGTGCCTATTTATACTATTAAGGGATTCACGGATGGTTGACAAATGGACGGCATCTGGCAGCCTCCATTCTGGACGACACACGTGTCACCGCACTACCTTGTTTCTAGCACACTCCCCTCCCTAAGTGGAGCTTCCTATCCTTTAGCAGACAAGATCTTGATTGGCTTGGTGGTTTGGGACTTGTGTTGTTATGCTTGAGGTCGTGGGTTTGATACAGTTCCATTATTCTTGTTGGGTCAACACATCACCCATAAAGATGGACACCCCGTTAGGGCGGTTGGCCGACTTTCCCAATAAAGTGGCCCCCCCTGGGGTCCCATATCGCCATCACAAGTCCCCCACTTTCTTTAGGCATCTCGATGCTTGAAGGAAGTATAATTCAATACCACCACCTCATTCCTTTTCCAAACTCAACTTCTAGTTCCAAAATTTCCAGATATTTTTTGTTCCCCCCACCATCGTACGTTGCTACCACACGTCACGCTGCTACGCGCCATGCCATTATCGCGCGTCGCTATCGCACAGCCTTGACAGCCATCGACTCATTACTTGCTTCATCGCCTCGCCTTCAGGATCTGGTTTTCTGGACACACTTCTTGCATTGGATATCTTCCTTGTTAGTCAGTACCCGGCTTATTTTGAATATTTTGTTGTTTTACACTGTTCTCCCTTGTTGCTTTGTCCTGCGTTTGTTGATTTCTCCATGCTGTACGTCCATGCTTCTTTCGAATATTCACTGGATGTCTTTGCTCCTTCTCCATGCTGTACCTGCATGCACCCTTTTTTTTTTCTTTTTTTTTTTTTAATCGATGAATATAACCAATGGTTGCAGGATGGGGTAGTGTGGGTTGCGATAACCCACACGGCCCATCCGCCAAAAACTATGCCGCCGCTTGCTGAGACCAAGTCCACGCATGTGGGTTGCGATAACCACACGCCCCATCCGCCAAAAACCATGCGGCTTGTCGGGGCAAGTCCGTGCATGTGGCTTGCGATAACCCACATGCCCCATCCGCCAAAAACCATGCGACTTGCCGGGGGAAAGTCCGCGCATGTGGGCTGCGATAACCCACATGCCCCATCCGCCAAAATCATGCGACTTGCCGAGGGTAATTTCGCACATGTGGGTTGCGATAACCCACACGCCCCATCCGCCAAAACCATGCGGCTTGCCGGGGGCAAGTCCGCGCATGTGGGTTGCGATAACCCACACGCCCCATTCGCCAATTGTACATGGACTACCTACCTCGCCTTGTGAGTCCGGTACTCGATCATCTGAATGGCCGTGGGGCCAGCATGCATAGCACATAGGAGCACATACTCGGGAAATAAACATAATATTTACTGAACTAAGTGTAAAAGTGCACTCACCAGGGTAGCGTTTCAATGTGCTAAGTGTGTTACCTCGTAGGGTAGCTCATCATGCGAATCAGCCATTTGGGCATTACCTCAGAATCTTGCCCAGATAATAGAGACTACAAACACGGGCTAATCGTAGCGATCCCCACAGACGCCGCCAATGAATGTTTTAATGGGACCAGATCCACCATAAACCGGGTATAGAAATATAGAACGGGGGTAGGGCAAAGAATAACTTTATTGCCCGGGGCGCTAGGCCCAAAATAGTACGTACAAAGCCCGAGGTACAGGCCCAAAATGGCGGCCCAAAATAATAACTAAACAAGTTAAGGGAACTAATAAATGAAATAAAACTAAATATATTACCGATAGGACTCAAACCTTGGTGTACCAGCAGGGGTTGAAGACTCAGACCAATGGACCAAGAGGGGTTTGGTGAGTTAAGGGGTGCCTTTAAAAAGGAGGGAAGGGTGCCTATTTATATTGTTGAGGGATTCACGGATGATTGACAAATGGACGGCATCTGGCAGCCTCCATTCTGGACCACACACGTGTCACCCCACTACCTTACTTCTAGCACACTCCCCTGCCTAAGTGGAGCTTCCTATCCTTTAACACACAAGATCTTGATTGGCTTGGTGGTTTGGGACTTGTGTTGTTATGCTTGAGGTCGTGGGTTTGATAACTCGTAGTAATAATTCTAACAATATTTTGTTCCAAACTTCCTTCTTTCCTTAGCCCGATAGAATTCCATTATTCTTGTTGGGCTAACACATCACCCATAAAGACGGACACCCCGTTAGTGCGGTTGGGCCAACTTTCCCAATAAATTACCCCCCCCCCCCATATATATTGATGGATGGTATACTAGGCCTGGGCCACATGGACCGGCCTAAGAAAGTAACTGGATCAAGGAAGCCCAAGAAGGATACTCAGTACGGAACAACTCAAGAGTTCGTTAAGGATTGGGCTTATTATTCCCAATATAATCAGAATTGGACTCATTATTTCTAATATAATAGAATTAGGTCTTATTATGTAACTAAGACACCCAATATGAGGTAGTCTAGAATTCTTATTCCTTATAGGGCTTTAGGCCCAAAATATGTATAAATAGACCCCTTACATAGAGGGGAGTGAGGCAATTTCCACCATACAGGGGACAACTTTCATTATTCACCAGTAATACTCATAAATACAAAGTTCCTATATTTTCTCCATATATTTTTCCTATATTCTCGTTATTCTAACGGTAGTGTTGGCCTGCCATTGACTACCCAAAAGTCATAAAACCAGCATATATATATATATATATATATATATATATATATATATATATATATATATATATATATATATATATATATATATATTTATTTATTTATTTATTTATTTATTTGTATTGAGAGCATTTAAATAAATTATATAAAATAAAATATAACTCTAACTAAACATGTTAATGTTACATCCTCATGCCACAATCACAACTAACACATAATAAGGTAATCTTATTACATTTTAATAATCTCACATTCTCACATCATCTCTAAAAAGTAATATTATTATTTAGGGCATCAAATCTCACATTTCGGAACCAAACGCCCCTTATTATCATGATAGTTAAAATTTACTATTTATATAATGTCTATAAGGTAAGTAAAGTCTAACTACGTAAATCGTCATATCCATAGTTTCTTCCTTCTTTTCTTTCACTAATTTAATAATTTTATTTATATCTATCTTTTTTTTTTTGTGGGTCAGAGACTCAGAGGGACAGAAGCCCCAAGTTAACTAATCCTCCTTCGTTAGTTCCGCAGCTCTGGAGGATTAGTCGACTCCTGATTTGTCAATGTTCGTCCTGCACTGCATTAATACGGGATCCTTTCCGCTGGGTCTTAACGATTCAAATATCGATTTGATTCCGAAGAAAATAAGCCCGGAGAGAGTTACGGACCTTCGCCCAATTGCACTCTGCAATGTAGCCTATAAGGTTATAGAAAAAGTTCTGGCTAATAAGCTGAAAGGGGTTCTAGACTCGGTGGTATCGCTTTCACAAAGCGCGTTTGTCCCCGATAGGCTGCTTACTGACAATATTATCATGGCCCGGGAAGTTGGTCATTTTCTCCGCAGAAAAAGACCGGTGTTAAGGGTTGGGCGGCCCTTAAACTTGATATGGCCAAAGCCTATGATAGAATGGAGTGGCCGTATCTAGAAGGAATGCTGGCTGCTTTTGGTTTCGATCAGAACTGGATTAATCTTTTGATGCTGTGTGTTTCTACGGTCAGGTATTCCATACAGGTAAATGGAGAAGGAATAGGGGTAGTGAGTCCTACCCGGGGTATTCGTCAGGGGGACCCGCTTTCTCCGTATCTCTTCATAATTTGTGCAGAAGGTTTGTCCATCCTACTTCAATAGGCAGAGGGGAGTGGCAGTATTCACGGCGTACGAATTGCACGAAGGGCCCCTCCGGTGTCCCATCTTTTTTTCGCAGACGATAGTCTGCTCTTTTTCCGGGCTTCGTGTGAGGAGGCGCAATCGGTAAAGGATTGTCTAGATCGCTACAGCTCAGTCTCAGGACAGTTGATCAACTACGATAAGTCAAGTGCCATGTTCAGTGCGAACACAAAAGCGGATGTGAGAGCGCAGGTGTCTGCGTGTATAGGCGTTCGGGAAACGACAGATTTCGGCAAGTATCTTGGTTTGCCGTCGGTCCTTGGCCGTAATAAATCCGCCACTTTTCAGTATATAGAAGATACTGTCCGGGCAACGCTAAGCTCATGGCAACATCGCTTACTCTCCAAAGCAGGTAAAGAAATAATGCTAAAAAGCGTTGCACAGGCCCTCCCTATATTTACTATGTCTGTTTTCTTGCTGCCAGTACGGCTTTGTGACAGATTGGAAAAATTGTTTAATCGTTACTGGTGGGGTGGAGGCAAATCAAATAATAAAGGAGTGCATTGGATGAGTTGGAGACGATTGAGCATCCCGAAGTATCACGGTGGGCTAGGATTTCGAAAACTACATGAGTTCAACGTCGCTTTGTTAGCTAAACAAGGATGGAGATTACTGACGACACCGCAGTCACTGGTTAGTCAACTACTTAAAGCTAAATATTGCCCGAATTGTGATTTTACTGATGCCGTGCTGGGCAATAACCCGAGTTACATGTGGCGTAGCATCTTGGCGGGTCAACATGTTTTGAAGGCAGGTTTGGCTCGCCGAATTGGGAATGGCAGGAACACGAAAATTTGGGATTGGCCTTGGTTGGCCGATCGCATTAACACTGCTCTTAATACTGTGCCATTGGATCACTTGCGAGAAGAGAGAGTCAGCGGGTTGTTGAACGAGGATGGGCAGTGGGATGTCGAACTGATTCGGGACCTGTTTGATGCCGATGATGTGCGCAGAATCCTAGCTACTCCAACGGCCGTCCACGTACCAGATTCGTGGCGCTGGGTGGGGGATACTCGTGGGCTCTATTCGGTAAAACATGGGTACAAATTATTGACGTCACAGACTACGTCGAACAGCAATCCTGAAGTTTTTGACGCATGGGATAAGTTATGGAAATTGCCAGTTCCCCCCAAGGTACGTCATTTGTTATGGCGGTGTGTCCGAGGCATTCTCCCGGTGCGCGAAAATCTTAAATTAAAACATGTTTGGATTGGGGGTGGCTGCCCACTCTGTGTCAGCGATGTTGAAACGGCGGAGCATCTGATTGGGGAATGTTGTTTCGCAAAACAGGTCTGGGTGAACGATGAAAGTTGGCAGGGAGAGACGATTCAGACGTTCATTGCTTTGAAAATTAAGGATGCGCATGAAGAGATGGTGGTCCGTATGGCGGCAGTAATCTGGGTGATATGGACGGCGCGGAACGATATGGTGTGGCGGAATAAATCATAGACCGTGGAAGCAGCGCACTGTCAGATTGCTTTATGGGTTCAGTCGTGGAAGGAGGTTTACAAGCGGGAACACACTACTGGCGTTTTACGTGATGAAGGTGCATCCTGGGATCCCCCTCCACTGTTCTGGTTAAAGTGCAACGTTGATGCTACACTCACGACGTCAGGTGCGGGTTTCGGGGCTGTGCTTCGGGATCATATTGGACGTTTCGTGGCGGCAAGGAATGGTCGTCTAACCTGTGATCGTGATCCGCTAATGGCAGAGGCATGTGCAGTTAGAGAGGCGTTACTGTGGCTTCGTAATAATGGTCGTAATCACGTGATTATTGAATCAGACTGTTTAGTTTTTTGTAATGCGTTCAATTCTTCTAAGTTAGATTTATCTTGTGTAGGTTTAGTAGTGAAGCAATGTACACAAATTGCTAGGGACATTGGGGACGTTGCTGTCCGCCATGTCAGGAGATCAGCGAATCGTGTGGCTCATGCCCTTCCACGGGTAACCGATTCTATGACTGACTCGGAATCGTGGTCTGATGTACCACCTGATTGTATTTCTGGCCTTTTGGCTTAGTAATGATATATGCGTTTTTGTTCAAAAAAAAAAAAACTAATCCTCTTAGTCGGTATACTTTGCACGTCTTGAGCTAAAATGTCTCTTATCTCGTCTGGCAAATTATGCTGTGCATCCGTATGCATCATGCATGGTGCATACGGATGCAAAAACGACGTAGTTTTAATAAAACCAGCGTCTCCCCTTAAAAAAAAAAAATCAGGTTCGATTCCCAGCAACAACATATGAACTAAAATTCCATAATCGATGAACTATAATTCCATAATCGATGAACTATAATTCCATAATCGATGAACTATAATTCCATAATCGATGAACTATAATTCTATAATCTAATCTATGAACTAAAAATTCCAGAATGAATGAACTAAAATTCCATAATCTATAAACTAAAATTTCAGAATCGATGAACTACAATTCCATAATCGATGAACTATAATTCCATAATCAATGAACTATAATTCCATAATCTATGAACTAAAATTCCAGAATGAATGAACAATATAATGTTGTTGCTGGGAATCGAACCTGAATTTTTTTAAAGGGGAGACGCACGTTTTTTAATAAAACGACGTCGTTTTGGCATCCGTATGCACCATGCATGGTGCATACGGATGCACAGCATAACTATCCATCTCGTCTAGTAGTTCTCTAATCTTGTAGTCGCCTAGACACTTGCTTGACCCAACAACATTGCGGGGGCAAATTTTACTGTGGACCAAGATCTATGTAGCAACGTGGATCATGAAGTATGTATCATTTTAATTACCTGCACTTTAGTTTCATTTGACAATACATACTAGTTTCATTATAACAATATTAAAATATCATTTTAATTCTACTCTAGTTTCATTTGATAATATACATTATTGCTTGAGCTCTATTTTTTTGTTTTATTTTCATCACACACTAGTTTATTAATTATAGTAATGTTGAAATATTATTTTATTTGCACTTCAGGTCATTTGACAATATATGTTATTGTGTGTCTTTGGATTGTAGTTTCATTTTCTACGCAAACTAGTTTCATTATATCAATACTAAAATATCATTTTAATTATACTACAGTTTCATTTGACAATAATGTGCTCTGTTTTTTAGTTTCATCACACACACACACACACACTAGTTTCATTATAGTAACACTAAAATATCATTATAAGTCACCTACAATTTCATTCAACGATCATGGTTCACACAGCCATGGTCCATGTATAACAACTGCATTGTGGGCTCCAAAAGAATATTAAAAATATTATATAAATTATGATATAAATATTCTATGGAAAAAAAAAGTTTCCACTACCTTTGATTAATGAGTACACCTATTATACTTGATCAAATTTGGCACTCACTTTATTTTGAATTTTATTGTGGAAAATATTGATTCCCCTCTTTGGACCGTTTTTCATGTGGCATGAAAGCAAAATCCCAATGCGTGTGCACGCGCATGGTTGACTATGAATTAGTACATGTTACCATATCATTTCCAAAGGGACCAAACCATTATATTCATAAGTCAAAACAATATTGTCCATAAATGACCAAATAACTTTGAAAATATTAAACATGTAACCAAAGGAAAAAACAAATGCTAGAATATCACCACATTATTTTATGTGTGAATTTACATATTTTATATTTATATAGTGACGAGAATGACTGGCCTAGTTTAGTTAGAAAATACACTATTATTGATTATGATGAACATTTTATGACAATATATAGTAGCCGATTTAGACATGATGATGAGAATAACTTATTTACATTAGGACTAGAGTAACTGATTTAGACTAATGTAAGAAAGAGATTGTTGGGGTGTTTGGTAAATACCTGTTAGTTGATTGGGTTAGTGATTTGACTATTTGATATCATTAGTTGATTGTAGAAAAGTGTTTGGTTAATTAGTTGTTAGTTGATAGCTGATTACATGCAAAATGATTCTCAAAAAGCTTATTGAAAATGATAATTTGAGCAGCTTTTTGAATTTTAGTATTTTGGAACAATAAACTGTTACAAAAGGATAATTAATCAAACATTTATATTGATTGTTTAACCAAGTCAAACAGCTAATAGTAGTCAAATAAGTCAAAATTGGCTGATAAGCTAAGTACCAATCGTTATATCATGGACCATGGTCCACAAAGCTTTGTGGACCATGGTCCAAAAACAACGTCATTTCTTTAAGTAAAGAAACGACTGTCGTTACATCTTAACGAAGCCCATATTTTTCGTGTGTTAATTACAAAATGAAACTACAGTATATCTAAATTGAAACTGTCTCACGTATTGTTTTTATATTATCAAATAAAATTGTAATTGAATTGGAATGAAACTGTAGTTGTGTTGAAATGAAACTGTAGTGTATATAAAATGAAACTGAATAACAGTTTCACATATATGAGTGTATATTGTCCAATGAAACTGTAGTTATATCGAAATGATACTATAATTGTGTTGTAATGAAACTATAGTGTATATAAAATGAAACTTAATAACAATTTCACATATTTGAGTGTATAATGTCGAATGAAACTGTAGTTATATTAAAAAGAAACTGTAGTTGTGTTGAAATGGAACTGCAGTGTATATAAAATGAAACTAAATAATAGTTTCACATATTTGAGTATATATTGTCCAATGAAACTGTAGTTATATCGAAATGATACTTTAGTTGGGTTGTAATGAAACTATAGTGTATATAAAATGAAACTGAATAACAGTTTCACATATTTGAGTGTATAATGTTGAAAGAAACTGTAGTTATATCGAAATGAAATTGTAGTTGTGTTGAAATAAAACTGCAGTGTATATATATATATAAAATAAAACTGAATATGTTATACAAACAAAGCTACTTTACGCGGAACGGATGCCGTTTCTTTTTATTAAAAGAAACGATACCATTTTGGACAATGGTCCACAGTATAGTTACGTCACCAAACAGGGCCTATGCCAATCAAAGCAATGGATCGCTCTAACCACTCTCCAAACATTGATCTCGCAATTTTACAATTAGGGTGATCTATTATTATTTTTTGAATGCTACTGACTCTATTACATTGAAGTATCTGTTCAAACATACTTTCTCAATCTAATGAAGTACACAGAGTCAACAACGCATCCAATGAGACTCGATCTCGTGATCTCCCACATAGGGGATCTATTATTTTAGTTGCCCTAATAGTTAAAAATTTTATTTGAAATGACAAGAATTTGGTGGGAAAAATGAATTGTTTTAATCTCAATATCATCATTCTAATTATTATATTTTCTACTATTGTGAAATAAGAAGAATTTTTGCAAAGTCAAACAAATAGACACCTTAGCATATCTATACATATTTTAGAAGTTAATGATAAGCATAAGGTTTTGTTATTTGTAAAATATAGATTTTTTTTTTTTTTAATTTTGCATAGTCTAATATCATAATTTAGCCAACTACCATGTAGTGTGATGGCATCCCGGTTACCATTTTAAATGGATGATCATAGATTCGAACTCCGGTAGTGTGAAAGTATAGAACAGATAATACCTTGTAAACAATCATAAGTATTTCAAAAAAAAAATTATAATTTAAAAATAGAAAGTTTACGATTTTTTTTTTTGAAAAGAAAATTCTGAGATTAGAAGAAATAATCATAAATAAATTTATATTTTTAGACAACTCACCCAAATTCTCCATCGTGAAATTTTTGTATATATATAGTTAAATGTCTATGGAACATTTTAAATGTTGTTTGGTTCTGATGATAAAGCTTCCTCGTAGTTTTGGTGTCAAAAATAAAATCTGAAAGCAACATTTAACTAAATATCGTGACGTTTTAAGGTACGTAATTTCTGTCAAACTAAATCATTTTAATTATCAAAATTTAATTTTGGCACTTCTACACATCTGCACATCAGCTACATTTGTACAAGTGAATCCACTACATTTATACAAGAATAACGGATGCGGATGACGCGGAAATATATAGCTTTCGCGGAAAGCATACGTTTTTTTTTAAGAAAATAAAAACAAAGACTTTCCGCGACACCCTCTGTCGCGAAAAGTTTTTTATTTTTATTTATTTTTTAATTTGTTTTTATAAATGTATTCTATAGTAGTAGTAGTAGTAGTAATAATAATAATAATAATAATAATAATAATAATAATAATAATAATAACAATAACAATAACAATAACAATAACAATAACAATAATAATAATAATAATATTGTTGTTGTTGTTGTTGTTGTTGTGTGTATAAATCAGTGCAGAGGGTAAATTTGTCTTTTGAATGCACATTGCATTTCTATTCCTCTATTAGGGCTTATCATATTTACTGTTGTATTATTTGTGTAAGTCTATGGTGTATAGGACTCTAGGTTGTGTATCTTGTAATTTCTTTCATCGTTGTTCATCTATCTAATATAATCACGAGAGTTCTACATTCATATGGTATCAGGTTCCAGGCATGGCTAACGTCTCTTCCTCCGTTTCCGATAGCCGAACCGTTACCGCCGCGACTTCCTCTCTGTCGCCGGCTGCCCCTGTTTCTCTTCAGGGTGCCCATCATTTTGTTTCGTTGAAACTTACGTCCAAGAATTATCTCTTTTGGCGGACGCAGTTGGTGTCATTCCTTCGCGGGTAGAACCTTCTTGGATATGTTGACGGTTGCCATCCCTGCCCGACTTAGTTTCTTCCCTCCGGCGACGGCGCCACCGTCACTCTGAATCCTGCCTTTGCTGTTTGGATGCAATAGGATCAAACAATTATCTCCATGATCATCTCATCTCTTTCCGATGAGTGTATGTACCTTGTTGTAGGCAAGGGTACTTCCCAATTGGTGTGGTCCGCCATTGAAGCCTCCCTTGGTTCCTCCACCCGTGCGCGTTTTCTTAGTCTGCTGAGCCAACTTCAAGCGTTGCGACAAGGGGACTCCTCCACTGCCGAGTATCTTGGACGAGCCCAGGTCCTCATCGAAGAGTTTGTTTTGGCCGGCCAGAATTTAACCCTC